GATACAACATGACATTCTGAAACAAGTACACAATTGACTCAAAATGAATCAAACATCTAAACCAAGCTTGTCCAACCCGTGGTACATTGGCCACAGGTGGCTCAGGACAGCTTTGAATGCAGCCCAAAACAAATTTGTAAACTTACACTACAAACTATCCCAAAATTTAGTGGAATAGTTTAAAACAACAAACTTTCTTTTACTTCTCACAGTTCTGTCAGTTGGCGGAGTGGTTCTTCATGTTTGGACTGGTTCAGCTAAGAACCAATGGTCTAGGTCTAAGGATGGCCAGTTGGTCATAGGAATGAGGTGGCGCTTATCTAGGACAGCTCATTTCTGCTCCACATAGTCTCTCCATCTTCATGCTTCTCATATGGAGGTCTAAGGTTCCAAAGAACAATTTTCAAATCTCTGCTTGCATCACATAAAAAGGTATGGCCAAAGTCAGTCACACGTTCAAGCCCAGACTCAGTGTGCAAGTGACATGCACAAAGATGTGGTGACAGGGAAATGTATGATCACACTGACAGGGAGATGGTGACAGGGAGATGTATGATCATACAAAGATGTATGATCACACTGGTAGTCATTACAGCACATACAGTATTATCCAGGAGTCTTGAGTCTTTCTGAAAAAGTCAAGCTTCCTCTCTCTTCTTTGGGGGCTACTATGAAAGATCATCTTCACATTGTCAATGCAACAATAAGAAAAGAATTTAGAGTTGCTAGGTTGGGTGGGGAGTGGGCCTCAAGTAGAGAGTAAGGATTAAATGAGAGGAGAGGGACAGAAGGAAACCAGAAGTGTTTGAGATACTGAACCATGCTCTGCCTAAAGATTTTTCACGCACATAAAACAGGACATTTCCTTTTGTTTAAGCCAGTGGGAGTTGTATTACTGCTACATGCAACCAAAAGCATCCTCACATGGTTGTGAAGACAGAGCAGATATGGTCAGAGAAAGTGTAGATACAGGGGTCAAAGAAGATGTTATTTTTCAGAGGAGACATGTTGAAACATGTTTATATGTTGAAACGAGGTGTTTACACGTTGAAATGAGCAGAGGAAAGACTGAAGATACAAGAAAATAAGCTGACAACCAATAAAGTAATTCCTATGGGAAAACAGGAGGTAGTAGGATTTAGGACACAGGTGAAGGGATTATTTTCCTTTAAACAGAATGGTATGCCTCGGCCGGGCGCGGTGGCTCAAGCCTGTAATCCCAGCACTTTGGGAGGCCGAGACGGGCGGATCACGAGGTCAGGAGATCGAGACCATCCTGGCTAACACAGTGAAACCCCGTCTCTACTAAAAACACAAAAAACTAGCCGGGCGCAGTGGCGGGCGCCTGTAGTCCCCGCTACTCAGGAGGCTGAGGCAGGAGAATGGCGTAAACCCGGGAGGCGGAGCTTGCAGTGAGCTGAGATCCGGCCACTGCGCTCCAGCCCGGGCGACAGAGCAAGACTCCGTCTCAAAAAAAAAAAAAAAAAAAAAAAAAGAATGGTATGCCTGAGAGCAACTGGAACAACACAGACACTCAACAAATGTTTGCTGAACAAATGGATTGAAGATTTGGGATCTTCTGATACCACCTCCTCTCACAAATCAATATATGCCCAGTTTACAGAAAGCTACATTAATCCATGGCATTCTCAGTCTTCCCAATCCACCTTTGGAAGATAATCTTGATTGTGGCTTTCAGATTACCTTGCTTTTGCATCCAAGAACTGTTTACCCCAAGTATTTCAGGAAGAATCAGAGGAATGAGTACCTAATCTTGAATTCATTACACAATCTTGAGTTCTCTCTCACACCAGATCAGTGTTTTTCAAAATATAAACCTGACAACTTGCAACAAAATCACCTCGGGGGCTTACTGAAATGCAGATTCGTGACCCCACTTACTAAGTCGGACTCTGAAGGAGAGAATCTGCATTTTAACATTCTCTGTTCTCAAGTTGGTCTTTATGCTGCTCTACCAGATGTAAACCGTCTAAGAGCAAGGGCAGGGTCTGGTTGCCTTTGTTTCCTCAGCACATTTCCTGGCATAATGTTTATCAAATGAGTATTTAAGTCAGGGAATCCATGCCACTAAATATGAGTTCACAAATTAAGCTTTTCAGAAAGCACATCTTTAACGTATGGTTCCAGTATGTTACAGTAAGTTGATGGATATTTCAAATCTGTCATGTGTTGAAGGGAGAAAATTAAGCTTTTCAGAAAGCACATCTTTAAAGTATGGTTCCAGTATGTTACAGTAAGTTGATGGATATTTCAAATCTGTTATGTGTTGAAGGGAGAAAATGGTAGAGAAACACTGTCCTATATTTGGCAAGCCAAGAGTTTGACTTTATAACATCTTAAAACCTGCTTCTACTTATTAAAAAAAAAAAAAAAAAAAAAAAACCTCAAGTTTCTCCCTTAAAAAGCAAAATTGATACGTACAGCCTAGTCACAGTGTGAAGCCATGCTGGTAAACATTCCTTCATGATTAATACCCACGAGTTTTCCCTGGCTCATCTTACCACCCTGGCCCTGTGGCCAACCCTATCTATCACAGCTGGGAAAGGCTACCTTTTGAATGATCTTTTGTTTAACTGCAGCCTTGACCTACTGGACTCAAGCAATCCTCTCCCACCTCAGCCTCCGCACCCAGCTGATTTTTTCTAGAGACAGGGTTCAACCATGTTGCCCACGCTGGTCTCAAACTCCTGGGCTCAAGTAAGCCACCCACTTTGGCCTCCCAAAGTGCTGGGATTAGAGGCGTTAGCCACCGTGCCCAGTCTGATCTTCTTTCTATAAAAACAAAACAACAAAATGTATATATAGATGAACAACATCAGTCGTCCACCAAGATGCCTCCTGTGATGGTTAATTTTACGTCAAGTTGGCAGAACCACAATACGCAAATATGTGGTCAAACATTATTCCAGATGTTTCCATGAGGATGTTTTTGGATGACATTAACATTTAATAGGTGGACTTTTGAGTAAAGCTGATTGCCCTCCATAGGCCTGCCTAGAACAAGACTGACCTCCCCCTAGCTAGAGGGAATGCAGCAGACAGCTTTCAGACTTGAACCGCAAGGTCAGCTTTTTCCTGGGTCTTCAGCCTTGAATGGCAGCAATGACTCTTCTCTTTGTCTCCAGCCTGCCAGTCCACCATGCAGATTTTGGATTTGCTGGCCTCCTTAATTATGAGACAATTCCTTAAAATAAACCTCTTTATCCACACACAGACACACACCCTTTAGTTCTACTTATTTGGAGAACCCTGATTGATACACTTCCTCCAATCACTTTGTACCACTTCTGTGCGCACACACACACCTGCCCCTTCACTCAACTTCAACCCGCTTTCACTTTCAAATGCCCACACTGAAGGGTCAACTTGAGAGCACTACCTTTGTTCAGCCTATTAAACTGCTTTGCCTGCATGTGCAGAGCTAGGCGTGCCTGCACACTTAACATCCTCTTCAGCGGCCACATGAAAAACAGGGTAAGTGTATGCAAGCCCAGCTCCCTCATCTCCGGCAGCGATAACTCTGAGGTATCACCTATACTCCCTAACTCTCCTGTGAAGTCATACTGAAACGATCTTTTGCAAAGGTCTGCCTCAGCTTTCATCCTTCGTGGCTTCCATTCCCTATCTTGCTTGCGCCACTTCTTTACCAAAATTTAGAGCCAAAACGAAGTCAACAGCCTATCATTTCTTCCTGCCTTTTCTGATCCATTTTAATCCACTGCACTAATCTCTCTAAAATACACAGCACGTCACTCTTTTTTTTTTTTTTTTTTTTGAGACGTAGTCTCACCCTGGTGCCCAGGCTGGAGTGCAATGGCGGATCTCGGCTCACTGCAACCTTCGCCTCCCGGGTTCAAGCGATTCTCCTGCCTCAGATTCCCCAGTAGCTGGGATTACAGGAGTGCGGCACCACGCCTGGCTAATTTTTTGTATATTTAGTAGAGACGGGGGTTTCACCATGTTGGCCAGGCTAGTCTCGAACTCCTGACCTTGTGGTCTGCCCGCTTCGGTCTCACATCACTCTTTAAATTAAAAATGCGTTTACCATAAAGTCCAAACGCCTCAATACGGTATTGAAAGCTATATTTTAGCAGCTGCATCCCTCTCCCGCCTCATCCCAATTCACCCCTACGCACTTTACTGAACTTTGGGTTCTCTCAACCCAGAAACCGTTCTGCCTGGAAGGCGCTTCCCTCCTCAAATCCTCGCTGTGTGTGACGCCTCCTCCAGGCCCCGCTCAACTGACATTCGCACACCCAGACATCTGCCGTGGGCTTTTCGCCTCTTCCGAGCGGGCAGACCGTCCTGTTAAGACCCAAGACATTCCTGTTTCGCTCAGGTTAAAACCCTGAAGTACCTGGTCCGCTCATTGGGATTTGGCTCCTGCAGCCACACCTTTCACTCCAGCACGAGAACTCGATTCCCAGGAGTCGCCATCCGGTGGCCAGAAAACAGACCAGCGCGCTACCCCTCCTCTGACGCTGCGCCGGGGGCGGGGGCGGGGGCGGGGGCGGGGGCGGGGGCGGGGGCGGGGCAGAAACTGCTTCTGCCTGGAAGGCGCCTCTCCTCAAATCCTCGCTGTGTGTGACGCCCCTCCAGGCCCCGCCAACTGACATTCGCACACTCCAGACATCTGCCGGGCTTTTCGCTCTTCCGAGCGGGCAGACCGTCGGTGCAGACCAAGACATTCCCAGTGTTTCGCTCAGGTTAAAACCCTGGGCACTTGGTCCGCTATTGATTTGGCCCCTGCAGCCACACCTTTCACTCCAGCACGAGAACTCGATTCCCAGGAGTCACGCATCCGCAGTCAGAAAACAGACTAGCGCGCGACCTTCCTCTGGACGCTTGCGCTGGGGCGGGGGCGGGGGCGTGGGCGGGGCGGGGCGGGGCGGGGGTGGTGGCGGCGGGGGCGGGGGCGGGGGCGGGGGCGGGGGCGGGGGCGGGGGCGGCGCAGGACGGGCAGTAGGCGGGGCCTGGCGTGGAGCGCGCATGCGCTGTGGTGCGGCGCTGTGGTGTGGCGCGGTAGCGCGCCAGGCTGGCCTCCGTGGTGAAGGAGCGGAGAAGTTCGGGCAACAGTGAGTACCAGAATCCGGTGAGATCGAGGCACGGGGCTAGGGCTCCTCAGAGCGTTTGGTTCCATTGCATTCCCCTCGCAGCCGCAGCCTGGAGCCCCCTGCAGCTCGGCCTGGGCCAGGAGACGCACCTTCCAGGCTATTAAATTAGTATTTGTAAAAACACACTGCACACTTGGGAAGAAATTGCCGCCTCCCCGGCCTGTGCAGCGGCTCACACCTGTAGGCCCAGCTACTCAGGAGGCTGAGGCGGGTGGATCCCTTAAGGTCAGGAGTTCGGGACCACCGTGGGCAACATGTCGAGCCCTCCCCCCCACCACAAAAAAATCCAAAAATTAGCCGGGCGTGTTAGTGCACGTCTGTAATCCCAGCTGCTCGGGAGGCTGAGGCAGGAGAATCACTTGAACCAGGAGGCAGAGGTTGCAGTGAGCCCAGATCCCGCCACTGCACTCTAGCCTGGGAGACAAGAACACAACTTAAAAAAAAAAAAAAAAAAAGGAAATAAAAAATACCTTGGCACATAGCTTTAACAGATTATTGGAAGTCTTCCTTAGTAAAGCATTTACTAAACATTTTTTCTTTTGGTCTGTGAACTAGGCTGGGAAACATGTCTTTCCTCAGTAATTTTCCACAGAATTCTGAACAATTGCGGTAGAGAGAATTTTACGTGAGCCACAAAGAGCTTCCTGCAAGTGGGCACTGGTGGGGATTGCAACTGTAAATCCAACTAGAAAAGATTTGTCTATAGAAGAAAACACACTCTTAGTTCCCAGGTCATGCCTAATACATTTTAGCAGTAATTTTAACATACACCGCTTTTTGCAGCCGCTTACTGACAGCCTTAACAAAAATGGGAAGCAGTTACCAGCATCTTCTATGTAGCTATGTGTTCAGCATTATGTCAGGTTCTAGGAGGAATCAAAGACAAATGATTGCTGCCCTCTGGAAGTCTACACAGTCTTCTGTCTTTAAAACAAAATTAGTGCATTCTGGGGCCGTTTCTTGACGATGGCACTTTGGGAGTTCCCGTCTAGATCTGGGTAGTCATTAACTGAGCATGGTATTGTGTTCTTGTGAAAAACGGTAAGTTCAGGCCAGACGCAGTGGCTCACGCCTGTAATCCCAGCACTTTGGGAGGCCGAGGCAGGCGGATCACAAGGTCAGGAGATCGAGACCATCCTGGCTAACACGGTGAAACCCCTTCTCTACTAAAAATACAAAAAATTTGCCGGACGTGATGGTGGGCACCTGTAGTCCCAGCTACTGGGGAAGCTGAGGCAGGAGAATCGCTTGAACCTGGGAGGTGGAGGTTGCGGTGAAGCAAGATCACGCCACTGCACTCCAGCCTGGGCAACACAGTGAGACTGCATCTAAAAAGAAAAGAAAAGGGGCTTGGCGCGGTGGCTCACGCCTGTAATCCCAACACTTTGGGAGACCGAGGTGTGCAGATCACGAGGTTGGGAGATTGAGACCATCCTGGCTAACACTGTGAAACCCCATCTCTACTAAAAATAGAAAAAATTAGCCGGGCACGGTGGCGGGTGCCTGTAGTCCCAGCTACTCAGGAGGCTGAAGCAGGAGAATGGTGTGAACCCGGGAGACAGAGCTTGCAGTGAGCCTACATTGCACCACTGCACTCCAGCCTGGGTGACAGAGTGAGACTCTGTCTCAAAAAAGAAAAGAAAAAGAAAAAAGAAAAGAAAAACAGTAAGTTCTAACACATCACTAAGTATTCAGTGTGTGAGAGTATAGTGTGAATCTGAGTCTGCACTGGGAAGTTAGGTGGGCACCAAGGAGACCCTTGTTCCTAACTTCTCCAGATGAGAATCTAAGCCATGATATCAAAACATTTACCTCAGGTGAACTTTACCAGTGGTGAGATGAGTGAGCCTTCTAGAGCATAATTCTCAAAGTGCCTTCCTGAACACTTTATGTATCAGAAGTTACCTGGGATGGTTGTGAAAAATGCAGAACCTGGGTTCCCCCTCCCCAAACCTACAAAATCAGACCCACTGTTGATGAATGCAGAAGTGTATAAAAAGAAAGTTGATGCATCCATTTTTACCAAGCATGCACTGCACAAAACATCCATACTCTGTAACCTACCCTGTTAGTCTCTGAATGGTTTATTCTTACCCCTGTAACATCACCTTATTCTCTCCCCCTTTCCTGCTAAGCTACAGTTACACTTAGTGCTTTCATTGCTTTAAAAAAAGGTCAAGCTGTGGCCTTTGTAATCCCAGCACTTTGGGAGGCTGAGGCGGGCAGATCATGAGATCAGGAGATTGAGACCATCCTGGTTAACACGGTAAAACCTCATCTCTACTAAAAATACAAAAAATTAACCGGGCGTGGTGGGGGGGCGCCTGTAGTCCCAGCTACTCAGGAAGCTAATGCAGGAGAATGGTGTGAACCCAGGAGACGGAGCTTGCAGTGAGCCGAGATCACACCACTGCACTCCAGCCTGGGCAACAGAGCAAGACTCCATCTCAAAGGAAAAAAAAAAGTCAAGCTGTTTACTGTTGCAAGGCCCTGGCTCTTCTATCTGGAAACCTCTGTGTAGGAAGCTGCTCCTTCTACCACCTTGAAAAAAAGTCTGTTGTTTTCAATGCTATCACCTTAGAAAAGCCTTTCCTATTGGCTGGGCGCGGTGGCTCATGCCTGTAATCCCAGCACTTTGGGAGGCCGAGGCAGGTGGATCACAAGGTCAGGAGTTCAAGACCAGCCTAGCCAATATGGTGAAACCCCATCTCTACTAAAAATACAAAAATGAGCCGGGCGTGGTGGCAGCCGCCTGTAGTCCCAGCTACTCAGGAGGCTGAGGCAGGAGCATCACTTGAACCCAGGAGGAAGAGGTTACAGTGACAGGGGAAGACTCCGTCTCAAAAAAAAAAAAAAAAAAAAAACCTTTCCTAATCACCCTATCTCAAGAAGTCTTCCCCTGCATTCTCTCAATTTCCCTCTTGGCACTTAACACTCTTTTTGATTACTTATATGTTTATTTATTTGTATATTGTGCCGCCTAAGGCCATGAAGGCAAGCATGATACGTGTTTTGTTTACTATTGCATATCTAGTACTTTTAATATTGTCACCATGTAATACTTATGTATACTGAATGAATGAATGAGCACCTAGCCTGCTTACAAGACTTCTGAGATTCCATATGACTTTCCTTCTACTTAGCCATTCAATCTTATCTTCTTCAACTTGGATCTCCCTATCTAGCCAGGCAGTTTTCTTACTAATGCCTCATGCCAGATAACTTAATGCTTCTGATGCTCAGAATTCCCTCATGAACCCTTTGGTTATCCATATTTTTCACATCCTTCTACTGCAGTTTGTGCCTTCTGAAGCCTTCACCAGCTATTTCAGCCCTCAATGATAACTTTGTTCTTTGGCCTATGTGAAAGTTGTCAAATTCAAAACGGAGTCACTTGTGTCAAACCCTAGTATAATGGAGCTAGGGAAGGCAATGAAGGGAGGGCTCTCACACATCATTTGACTGATAACAGGAACTATCACAAAAATTGTTTTCCAAACCAAAGCTTACTACATGTGTCACACAAGGACAGCTAGCAGCACAAGGACAGCTAGCCATTGTATGAGAGCACCTGCCTGACACACCCAGTCCAAAACTGGAAGAGCCTAACTGTAACTCCAGGATTACAAGTCCTACCTAACAACTTCTGACACTCATCTATCAGAGCACACCAGCTATAAGACGCTGCCAGTGCCAATGAACTTTCCTTAAAGAAACAACTTTGAGGCTGGGCATGGTGGCTTAGGTCTGTAATCCCAGCACTTTGGGATGCTGAGGCAGGCAAATCACGAGGTCAAGAGATTGAGACCATCCTGGCCAACATGGTGAAACCCCGTCTCTACTAAAAATACAAAAATTCTCTGGGCTTGGTTGGCCAGCGCCTGTCATCCCAGCTACTCAGGAGGCTGAGGCAGGAGAATTGCTTGAACCCAGGAGGCAGAGATTGCAGTGAGCCGAGATCGCGCCACTGCACTCCACCCTGGCGACAGAGCCAGACTCTGTCTCAACAACAAGAATAACAACAACTTTGAAAAACCTTCTCTTTCCCCAATAAAACCCTAACTTTTTTGTTGTTGTTCGCAGGACATACTGGATGCTGCCCTGGTCTGTATATCCTAATCACCATCCTACTTATATGTTATTCCCAAATTGGAGATCTGTGTCTCTATGTTCATTGACCCTTGAACAACGCGGGCTTGAACTGTGTGGGTTCACTTTTTTTTTTAGGGGGAGGGATACAAGGCCTTCCCTGTCACCCAGGCTGGAGTGCAGTGGCACTCTGTCGGCTCACTGCGGCCTCGACCTCCCAGGCTCAAGCAATCCTCCCACCTCAGCCTTCCAAGTAGCTGGGACTACAGGCACATGCCACCACAGCCAGCTAATTTTTGTATTTTTTGTATAGACGGGATTTCACCATGTTGCCCAGGCTGGTCTTAAACTCCTGAGTTCAAGCAACCCACCCACCTCAGCTTCCCAAAGTGCTGGGATTACAGATCCGAATGTGTGGGTCCACATGTACATGGATTTTTTCAATAAAATATTGGAAAATTTTTGGAGATTTGTGACAATTTGAAAAAAGATGAACCGCATAGCCTAGAAATGCCATCACTTTGGGAGGCTGAGGCAGGAGGATCACTTGAGCCGACAAGTTCAAGACTGCAGTGATCTGTGATGACACCACCACACTCCAGCCTTGGTGACAGAGCAAGACCTTGTCCTTAATTAAAAAATAATAATAAAATAAATTTTTAAAAAAGTAAAAATCAGCCAGGCTCAGTGGCTCGCACCTGTAATCCCAGCACTTTGGGAGGCTAAGGTGGGTGGATCACTTGAGGTCAAGAGTTCGAGAGTAGCCTGGCCAACATGGTGAAACCCCATCTCTACTAAAAGTACAGAAAAATTAGCTGGGTGTGGTAGCACATGGCTGTAATCTCAGCTGCTTGGGAGGCTGAGGCAGGAGA